AATCAAATACGATTATATTTAAATTTCAAATCTATACCGTGTAGATCTATCATTGTTGTCTGTAATGGAATATAAATACGATTTAATTAAGATTTTATTATATAAATTTATATTTATATAATTCTATAATTAACATGTACAAATTATACTTGCAAATTCGAATTTAATGAGAAAAAAAAAAATGTGAGAAAAGGAAAAGAATAATTTTTCAATTAAATTCATTACGAATTCGATTACAAAGTAAAGTGAGATCGCGAAATCTAAATCGCGTATATACACGCGCAAGGATTTTTTAAAAAATTCTTCGTATCGAAGATATTCATATACATACGGCCAAGTTAGAAAAATTAAAAAGTTGTTGGCGATCTCACGATTTTCCATCTTCAGAAACACTTCGGTTGGTATTATCTACGAGGCACGTATATAAAACGCGTATAAAGCGTATAAAATAACCGGTATCCACGAGGATGATCCCTTTAGTACAGACTTCCCTCTGAATCTTAATTTCGAACGTCTGGTATCGAGCGATCGTAAAACCGATCCCGGTCCCAGAAGAGCGCAACGAGCGATTGGCCCGGCAGGAATATCGGGGGCTTCCCTCCACGCAAACTTATGCTTATTTCCCGTCGACGGAACTTTCGACGATCAAACTTAATTGACTGGCCGTCGGATAGACAAACTCGTTGGTGAAGTCAATAAAATGGGCCGAAACGAGAAGAAGAAGAAGAAGAAAAAGAAGAAGTCTTGGTGGCCGCATCTTCAAACTTCCTTTTTCTCTTTTCAACTTCGAGTTTTCCTTCGCCTTTTAAACGTGGAGACACACGTTTCGAGATGAATTTTTCGAACTCGTCTTTCGGAAGATTGGATCTGAATTCGAGGATCATTTAAACGTTTTATCGAAGGATTAATTCTGAATAATTCCGTGAAGAAGATCGGGGAGGAAAGATTTTTTTTCTTTCTTTCTTTCTTTCTCTTTTTCTTTCGTTTGGAGCGATATTCGTTCGGATTGGTGCTGCGTGGAACGATAGTTTCGAGTATATCGAAGCGAATATTTGTGGCCGAAGTGAACAGAATCGGTGAAATAATTTACAATATATAAAACGATCGAAGGAGATTCGCGTGAATTCGCGGAATATTTTCGAGGATGTTCTCACTGGCTAGGAACGTTAATTCTATCCTAATAAACTATCGATCGATATCCTCTTTTTTTCTTCTTCTCTATTTTTTTCACAACTCGAACAAAGTGTTCGCACGCCGAGTGAAAATCCACTTCGATGTGGAACGAATTCGAAATTGAAGTTTGAGTTGAAAAAGAAACAGGATCAGCGACACGAGGCTGAGGCGAGACTTCTTAAAAAAAAAAAAAAAAAAATATCGCGGAAGATGGAAACAAGTTGCTTGCTAAAGTAACTTCCTTCTGCCTCTCCTCCTCGTTCTTCTAATTCGCTAACGATTTCGCGGCCGAGGGCATCACCGGGACAAGCGATTACGAGTTTAAGGTAGCCGACAACTGGAGGAGCGTTGGCGGCGGCGGCGGCGGCGGCGGCGAGCTCCACTCCTCGTAAAATTATCCGTAATAAAATCGTGATTTACGCCCGTGTTCCTGGAAACCAGACCGCTCGAAACGTTCCACTATCCCGCTCTCGGTTCCTCTAACCGCGTCTCGCCCGTTTTATCTGTCCGCGCTCGTGCTCCTGCCTCGGGATACCTTGCACCATCTCCGTTCCCCTCCACGCTCATCTCGCAACACACTTTGACCTTTCCGTGCTTCGCCTTATTTTCCACCATCCCGAAACCTCTCGACCGGATCGATCCAATCCTACGTCCATCTTTTCGACTTTCTTCCTTTCATCGATCCTCCAATTCTCTTTCGTTCTACGACGCCTTTACAAAAATTGTAAAAATTATAAAAATTTCATCGATATATATATATATAAACTCGAAAGAGAGGAAACTTTGATAAGGAGAAGAAGGTAGGGAATTTTTCCAACGAAGCACGCGCATCAAATTCGAAACGACGCGTAAAAGTTGGGCGACGGTTTCATATCGTGATGCTTGTAAAAGGCGGAGGGGTGGTTGGTCGAAGAATTGGAAAGGAAAGCGAGAGAGAGAGAGAGAGAGAGAGAAATTTTCGGCTTGCGACAGAGGGAAAGAAGAAGAGCAGGGTTCTCCCCCTGGCGGGAGAGAAGGCTCGAGGGTCGCGTAAACGCAAAGTAGAACGCACGACTGCCATAAGTCGTAAAAGGAGGCTATAAAATTGTGGCCCCCGCGCCCACGGGCGGCCACTCGCCAATTTCATATATTTACGTCAATCTTCTCTCGAGTTATGAAACGGCATAGGTGAGGGTAACGTACGGTCCATGCTTGCGAAACTCTGAAAAGAAGGATCGCTTGCACTTATCGCGCGTGCATGCCTGTAATCGCCGCGTAACGTGATTCCTTTATAAACTCGAATTTCCTTCCAAGCAAACGAATCGCGATCCAACTCTTTCTCGATTCGGCTCGAACGGGTTTTTAAACGACGATGATTACCGTCATCCTGTTTCTTCCTCGCGTCGAATTATATTAAGCTATTCATATCATCCCGTGAGAACGTGTATACACCGTATATTTATTTATATCGAATCCGTACCGCGACTTTCCAATTTCGTTCCGTCGCGATTTCAAAATATTTTCCATATATATATATATGTATATGTATATGTATATGTATATACCGATTCAAGCGATTACGTGCTCTTCGTTCTTTTGTTATTATATTTCTGAAACGGCGGTATCGTGTTATATCGTATTACAATAACTCGATATCGCGCGTTCGATTATCGCGCATGGGAGAGGAAGAGGAGGAGGGGATGAAATTTTTTCCCTTTTAGAAAATTTCCACTCAGATGAGATAAACTGATTTCGCGGGGCGAGAAAATTGAAAATACGAAGCGTCGAAACGTGGAAAATAGGCGTTTAATTTTTTTTTTTTTTTTCTTCTTCTTTTTTATCGGATATCAGGGGACGATATTACGTTATACGAGCATATACGAGGATCGGCTTTATGCAAAGGAAATTCAATAGGCGAACAGTTTATGCGTACTTGCACGATGTGGTCCCTGCTGTGCACCACGGGAATATTAAAAAGAGAGGCTTTTTTATCGGACCGCTTTATGAACAGCAACGGTTTTATCACTTGCGCTCGCTGGAAACTCTTCAACCCCTCCCCTCCCTCCCTGATTCGGTATCTCGAACGCGCATGTGAAAATGAGCGGAACAAAAACGGGTGTTGTTTCGCTCGTGTCGTGAGATGCGATTACGGTATTTGTTCGGCGTGTGAAGGATATGAAAAAGAAGAAGAGGAAGAAGAAGAAGAAGAAAAAGAAGTCGATCATTGAAATATACCAAAAATTTATTTACATAAAAACATGAATATAATACCTATAATATTTCAACTGCTGCTTGCATTTTCTTCGCTTTTCCACTCGGTGTCAATGTATTCAAAAAAACAATCGAGATAGATCTTATCCAAAATTAATCGGTATTGCCGCATTCTTTTTTAAATCGTCGAGACAATTCATCGAACGAAAGTTATAAAGATTGACGGAGATAAAGAGAGAAAGAAAGAGAGAGAGAGAGAAATAGAAAATAACGAGAAACGATCATTAAACGGGTCTAATCCTTTAAGGATAGTGTATTCTTTAAAAGAAACGTAATCGATAATATGCAAACGCAATTCTGTTCGTCGGCCGAACGATCAAATCGGATCAAATCAAACGAAACTCAGTGGAGAAACCCTGTTCGCAACGCTCGATTCCCTTTTATTTGCTTTCTCTCCCTTCCCTTTTTCTCCTTCTCTCGCCTCCATTATTTCCTCCCTTCCATCCCTTCCTTCGATACGATTCATACGTGCGCGCGACAAGAACGAGAGAAAAAAGAAAAATCGTTTCCTTCCTGTCGTCATAAATAGCGCTTTTATATTATCAAAATCGGCGGAGCACGGTCGATTCGTCATTTTCATTCACCCCCTCCATCACCTTTCGCCATCAATTTTTTCTCGTGTTCGTTACAATATTTACAAAAAAAAAAAAAAATAAAAGAAAAGAATGTACGTACAAGATATATTCAGAATTATCGATGGAAAAAAAGGAAATAAAATATTAAGCAGGATATACGATTGATTAAAACATTTTATCGTTCATTTTCTCTCATTTCGCTTTCCTTCCCCGTCGATAGATGATACATCGTCGATCGACGTTTCGACAATTTTTCATTTTCAAAAATTTGAAATTCGAAATTAACGTTGTCCATCTCGCTTCCCTACGAATTTTTTGCACTCGACCCTCTTAGCAAGGGAATTTCGATTTTCCAATCAAATTATCGATCGTCGAATGTTCAAAAATTCTTAACCACCGTACGATGGTTACGCACGTCGCCACGACGCGAAATTGTATCGTTCGAGGATCGAACGATAAGAAGAGAAGATAAATCGTGGATAATCACGTTCACGTTCAACAACAACACGGTGACGATCGTTGTTGCGATCGGCGCTCGATCAGATCAGCGTTTATCAGGGGTAAGGAAACGATCTACCACGCTGAAGCTACCTGTCCATTTTTTTGTCCTCACACGCTTCCTCTCTTTCGTATTTTATTTCTTTTCTTCTTTCCTTCGCGTTGTTTAGCTCGATTAAGCAGCTCCTTAAACTGTACGGGTATAAAAAGGAATTGAATTCGCTTCGAGATTCTTATTAAAACGATCCTTACGAAAAGTGGGACCACGTGGCGCTCGTTCCTTCTTCGCGGGAATATTGTTCGAAGAAATTTTCTTTAACAAGCAACGCTAAAACGATGAAAAGAAGAGGCGAAAATCAAATAAACTCTGTAACCCAAACATCTGGCAATTATTTCTATTCTAATCTTAAAAGTCTTAAGATCTTATATAAAAAAAAAAAAAAAAAANAAAAAAAAAAAAAAAAAAAAGATATAAACTAAAATATAAACTTAAAAAAAAGATGGTTTTCATTTCTACATACTTTTATTAAATATTTGTACTCTACTTTCGAATCACAATTATGTACAAAATTAAAATAAATAAATCAAACCTTACAAATAATACAAATACGTAAAAACGTGTCGCTTTAATCGTATGGGTTACAGAATATTCGTTATTGATAAAAATTCCCTCGTCTTGGGATATTCGCCCAAAAGTACAAGTAACAGTAGTTTCCAAATTGTAGATATATTTAAAAAAGTAATGAGAAAAGAAAAATAGCGGTTTGTAGAGTTTCTCTTAAGAATTAAAAAAAAAAAAAAAAAAAAAGAAATCCTCTTCATATAGGTATCGAACTAAAATTATATCGCTTATTTATTCCTATACGTTTCGAGGAAATATCTTGGAAAATAAGAAACTAAAAATTTATTCTTTTTTTTTTTTTTTTCTTTTTTCAACAATCGATCAATTCCAATCCACATTCGAAACGCGAAAATTCACATTTCAAAATCAATTCTTCGTCCTTCCTTGTAATCGCAAATAACATCGAAATAAAATATTTTTAATCGTCCTACTATTTTTTACTCTCTCTCTCTCTCTCTCTCTCTCTTTCTCCTCTTCAATCTCGAGCAACCGCGTTGAAGAAGAATTCATTCCACGTGGTACTAGTCGAGCGATCGATCGTATCATCTTGGACGCGAGAAAAATCGGCCAGTGAATAATCTATCGCCGGCTAATATCGATACAATTGTGTCAATCAAAAAGAATATCGTTACTCGATATTATTGGTTCAGTTTCGATTGGACCTTGTTCACGATTACCATTCTCGAAATCGAGAATCGATATCCTAAATTCATTCCTTACGAATTATGCGGAAAAATCGAATAATACGATTGGAGTGTTTGTCGCGTGTCGGTGTTCGAAATGTGATTAGGAAAAAAAGCTCACCAGGAGAGGCACTGGATACGCGTAAAAAATTCTCCCTTTGTCATCTAGCTCCCGTATCAAAATTGATTTAGTAGAAAATATCGCATCTTCGTCGCTTCTTTCGGTATATATCGTTTTAAATGTCTTGTAAAAAGCTTGCAACCTCCTCGACGAAACTCCTTCCCTCTCTATCTTATATATTTTATTCCATTGCTTCTTTTTTTTTTCCTTTTTTTCATTTTTTCTTTTTTTTTTTTTTCTTTTTTTCTTTTTTTCTTACTCGAATACGCTTAACTTTCCAAGTTAAAAGATCCAAGAAAAAGGAGTAACCCACTCTTTGTTGTGAAATTCTATTTGGAGATAGCTCCGATTGATATAAGTTCGATATAAAAAAGTACGGTCAACGAGAGGCCTTCAGTCGTTGCTGAAAGACTTTGTATCGTGGAAATCCTCGTATTGCTCTTAATCGATACAAATGTAAAATGATGTCGTAATGTCTACGATTCATCGATCAGAAGTAGATGAGAACGGTGCGCATGGTAGAAAAGTCGATAGACGCTCTTCGATATTCGAGGATTCTTCGAGTTTGAGATCGAATTATTATACCTTGGGAGAACAATTGCGTTAAAAACATTCGAGCGAAACTATTTGCCGCGCACTACGTTAAAATCTCCAAGTGTTACTGATTCGGTACAAATGATCGATCGTGGAATCTATGAAGAATTACTTTGATATGTGGTGTATCGAATAAAAAGAGAAATAGGAAAGAAACGCTATTCGATCGCGTACCAAATGTCACGCTGACAATGTCGAAATTCGTAGATGGGATCATATGGATCGCACAGAAAATATTAAACGAGGTGGTATTCGGATACAACAGATACAATTTCAAAGTCCACGCGTCTTCTTTCGTCCCGATCGAAGACGAAATTATTGAAAAACACCCGTCGAAACGAGAGTCCATTCGTTTCGATTTTTCATCTGCGATAATTTAACTACGGATTTCGGAAGCAGCGAAACGGGAACGAAGATGAGAAATGAAAAATGATAGGAACGAGATATGTCGAGTCGTGGAGTGAAAACTTTTTTCTTGTAAAGAGTCGAGAATAAGAAGAAAGTCGCGTTTCGTCGAAAAAATTTAGCGTATTCGTAATCGTGTATGCGTACGCGTTCGTAGCAGAGCCTCGAACAGGATTCGCGTCCCCACTATCGAACGGATTATGCTTTATCGCGCTACGCGTCGTACACAGGATATTTCGTAATATCGTACGATATCGATCTAAACATACAGCATCAAAAAGTCGATATATCGATATAAACGCTCATACGTGTTTCCATTTATATACATACACACTTATGTACGAGTACGTTTAAAAAAAAAAAAAAAAAAAAAAGGAAACGCAATACGTGTCATCTTGCGTGTGTGAACGAAAAGTATGTCTGAGAAGCAATCCTCCGAACAAACGAAAAATTTGTTTACGTCCCGATTTTATCATTCCTTTTAACCGCGTCGCGATACAATTGTTCGTAATTGGAACAACGCAAAGAGGAAAAAAAAAAAAAAAGAAAAAGAAAAAAAATCGTCCTTCCATCTTACTCAACGCGAATTTGCTTAATTTGCGTCAGCGAGCATCAGAGATACCTTAGCTAAGCCTAGTTAACTCTGGATTATAAACTTGCACACAGAGATACGACCACGATTCTCGTGCATTTATCTTTTTTTTCTTCTTTCTTTCTTTTCTTAGTTTAAATTCGATTGCCTCGAAACCGAGAGGATCGCATCCTCGGATCGACCAGACGGTCGGAATCAATCGTCTCGGTCGTTTCCGAAACGGGAGACAACGAGATTAGCAGCTTAAGATTTATTATATCACATCGTCAATATGTGCGGCAGTATTTGCTTCTGAAACGGCCTGAATAAATTTGATCGGCCGTCGAGAAGAACTCGGCGCTGAGAATCGATGTTTCACATCGAAAACTCGTTGATAGTTTTAACCTGCAGCTCCGATTATTCGCGATTATACCAAACTTGTCGCTATATATATATATATAAAAAAAGAAAAAGAAAACGAAGGAAAAAGAAAATTCTCCTATATACGTTCGAGCCTCGGGACTCGACGCGCGTGATCTATCGTGATCATCGGTTTCGGATTGGCAGTATCGATCGCTAGACGCTTTCGTCCGCGACACGGACTTAAAATGTACACAAACGTATTTTAATCCTAGGGACGAGGGGTGGTCGCGGGTGTTCAATTGCGGAGCGAACACCGAAAGAAAGGATCGTTTGAAGGCGGTTTCCAAATGCAAAAACGTGGTGGCGAACAACGCAAAAGCCGAACCTCTCCCCTCGAGTCTAAGTATAATCGTCCAACTCCTCCGCGTTTCCCTTCGCCTCGCCGCCCTCGTTTCCCTCGGACGATCGACGCGAACACAGACTCGAACGGTTTAGGACCTCGAAAAGCACGGGTGACCGAAATCACGGAGAGAAGAAAGCTTCCTCCCTTATCAGCCCTTCCACCAGCTGCACAAACAGCAAAACCATCGCCTCTCGGGATGGGGCTGGAGCATCTGCTATTGTCAGTGCATCGCCCTGGTGGTGGTCAAATGGGTGGTCTCCGCCCTTTTGGGCGGCGGGGGCGGCGGCCTTCGTTTACTCGCGATCGCGTTCACGATGTTGATGCTGCGATTCTCGTCGGCGAACCTGACGCTCGGCTGGCGGCCGGGGCTCGACGCGTATTCGACGGGGGCGTGTGGGTCCGTCGCGTACACGTTCTCGTACAGATTGTCGGCCCCGTAGTGTTCCTGAACCCAGTTCGACACGTTCGTTTCCCTGTAATCGGCGACGGCGGGCGGCGGGTCCCGGAAACCGAGCACCTCGTGAGGGGTCGTGGTCGAATCCAGCTTGCACTTCTGCGCCACTTGCCACTTCTTCCTCATCACCCTCTGGAGATCCTTGAGGAAATCGCCGGGAGGCGCCTGATCGGACGCGGCCAGCTTCTTGGGGGAGGTGAGCCTCGTGCTGTCCGACCTCCTGGGCGGCATCGGTTTCCTCTGCGGCAAAGCGGGGCTCCCCGGCTCCTGTTGAGGGGGAAGGTTGAACGTGATCTTCTTCCCGGTGCCGGTCTTCGACTTGGGCGACGTGGGTGGCTCTTGAATGGTGACCCTGCGTTGAGGCTGGGGGCTGGAGGCAGCTTTCAACTCGGCCAGGTAAGGAGGGGCCGCGTAGTGGCCAGCCGCCGACCCTTGCTTCATGGCGCTTCGCCTCACCGTGTCCATGTTCGGATTCGGCCTGATAGGCTGGATCGCGTTGTTGTGCTGCTGCTGTTGGTGGTGGTGGTGGTGGTGGTGGCCACCGTACATCGACTCTATCTTCGAGTTCTGCCTCGTCAGGCTGGAGCCGTTCCCGTGTTGCTGTTGGGAGCCGTAGGCTGGCGGGGGAACGAACGGAGGAGGCGAGGCGAAGTTGGGCGAGGTGGGGGCGTAGGTCGGTGTGCTGGCGCTCGAGCCCGGATAGGAACTGTGCGGCGACGATACCGAGTTCGCGGCGTTGCTCGCGTGAACGGCGTTCTGCGGGTTCTGCGAAGCGTAGCTCTGGCTGTTCTGCATCGTCGGGTTGCCGCTGCTCGGATTCGAATACATCTGTTGCTGATTGTTGGACGAAGGTCTGGACGAGGCGTGGGTCGGTGTGCCTTCCGGTGTGATCGACGACGAGCTCGAGGATGCGGATTGTTTCGGCCTTGCTCGACGAATCGTTCCCGTCTCGCCGACCAGAGGGCTCGGGGGTGGCGGGAGGGACGCCAAACTCAACGAGGAACCGGTGAGTTCCGGGGTGTTGCACACGGGCAGTTCGCCAGGCGCTGGAGGAGGTGGCAATGAGTCCAACGAGAGATTCGATCTGAACATCTCTGGCGGAGGTGGGGGGAGCGGCTCGTTATCGGATTCTGCCTCCTCCGTGACTCTCGAGGGCGAGGGTGGCGGTGGTAACGAGGTGATCGAGTCCATCTGGAAAAACGTATCGAAACGTAACGATCGGATTCGTTTAAACGCGCTATCCAATGTACTAACCATACACGACGGTATAGGGCTGGTTGGTGTTTTCGATTCCTGATTATCCGATCTGTTGTAGCCCATAGGGCTCGCTCTTTCTCTGACCGGTGTGCCGGGCGGTACAGGGCTGACAGGGGTCGCGTTACCGGATCTATGATGTCTCTTCAAAGTTCCGGATCCGTCCGAGTCGGTGCCGCTCCTTCTTCGACTGTGCCTTCTGGTCAACGTTCCGGAACCGGAGCTGGTCGGGCTGGGACACGAGTCTGGCTCGTCGCGAACCGTTTCGCCCACTTCCTTCAATTGTCTCGTGATCGAGGTTAGGGGCAATTTTGGATTCATCGAGGGTTTCCTCTTTATCGTGCCCGTTGGAAACTCGCCACATTCGAAAGCTACCTACCGTGCAAAAATAAAAAAAAAAACGAGACGATAAAAGAGGTTGGAGAGAGATCGCGAGATTAAAATTCGAAACTCGAGTTTAAAATGCAAGGATTATCGTCGCGCTGTTTACCTCGCAACTACTGGGTGCTCCGTCCGACAGGCATCCGCTGGAACTCGAGCTACTCGCTCTGCTCAGTCTACCGTCGTTATTGTAACTCTGCCGTTGCTCGGAATTGTAACTTTGCCTCTGGCCTTCGTACTGTCTAGCATTAGCCACTTCCGCGTTGTGCCTCGAATTTTCCGTGAATTGGCGAGCGTTGTCGTTGCTGGTGTTGTACTGAGTTTGATTCTGAGTTGGGGGGGCGATCGAGCTAACCGAACACGACCTCGCGTGGGCCAGCATATCGAGATCCTCCTGAGCGAGCTCGTCGACCAGAGTCCTGTAATTTTCCATCAACTGTCTTCCGTACTTGGCCACTCTGATCCCAACCATCCATCGTTCCAGAGACGCGTTGTCCTCCGCGCAAAGGAATTTGATGTACTTGGTCGATTTAGGTTGCTGCAGCCTCGGGTGTTTCACGGCGAAACAAAAATCTGTCGGGGCTTTGTATTTCTTTTTCCACCCGATACCGTAGTAAATTTGATTCACGTCGAACGTGGCCAGGCAAACGAGGTCACGAGCGGTACGAGCCTTTTCCTTCGGCCAATAGTAGAGGCCGGATGCTCGAAGAATAAAATGATATCTCTTCCATCCCTTCTTGCTATCAGATTTCAGATACAACGGTCCCTCCACCTAAACGATCAAAGTTGAAACATTATTCCTCTTTTAATTTTCTTTTTCTTTCTTTTTCTTTCTCGAAATTACGATGAGATAGCATCAAACGTTATCGACGCAACGAATCGAAAGCATTCCAACTTGCAATTACCTCTGGCACGCCAACGTTACTGCTCGAAAAGAATTCCTCGAGAAGAATATTGCGCGAGTGATCGTCGTATTCGCCGCAACTTCTGTCGGATAGACCCAGAAGAAATCTCTCTGGAGTGAGGAAGAGTTGGGTCTTTTCTGGCCTCTCGACGAAAAGCAGCTTGTTCTTCGAGTCTCTGGTCCACAGTAAAAGATTTTCCACCAGCAATTCGTGATCTTCGTATACCCTCTCTAAAAAAAGGAAAAAGAAAACGGATCTCAGAATGAAAAATTGTCCGCAAACGATTTCTTTTCGATCGAAAAGAAAAATGGAAGAAATATTCACCCATGAAAAGGTCGGGCAAATGCTCGACCACCGTCCACTTTGGATCCATCGGCACGTGATTCTTATCGGCTAGAAGCCTGCACACGTGTGCCACGCTCATCCCTTCGTCCACGAGCAAGCTTTTCCCGCTCCCGTCCAAGGTGAACGCTTTGATGAACAGCTTCTGAACGCTGGCTTCGCGCATCTTCTCCAACGCCAACCGGATCTTCTCTGCCTTGACTCGGCTCGCCGCGTCTTTCCCCGCAAAAATTCACAGCGTTAAAACACCTAAACTATCCTCATATTATTGAAAAATGTCGAAAACTCACCCATGAGTTGGTGAGATTGCTGCTGCGGACCCGTGTGCATGGCGGTCTGAGGTGGTTTGTGCCCGGAACCGCTGCTGCTCGCGGAACTCTCACTGGACAACATCGACACCGTGTCCGAGAACGCGCTGTCGTTGTCGGGACTGTCGGTGCGCATAGCTGAAAACAAATACTATTTGTTGACATTGATCGAAGGGATCCTACCAAATAATATGAAATAATAGAAAATTCGCCAATAGAAATTTCTTTCGCTTCGCATCATCTGTGCGAAAGAGGTTTTACCTTATTTATAAGAGTCGAAACTTTAAGCGGTAAATATCAAGTAATATTCGAATCGTTCCATGGACAATCTAGACAAATAGAGAGGAAAAAAAAAAAAGGAATCATACGTACCTCCTTCGTTTTTGCCGATATCGGTATTGTCGCCAGGGGTGATTCTAGCGCTATTAGGTCGGCCCTGTCTCTGCGAGTCGGGTGCAGGTGTGGAAGCGATGTCGCCATCGCAGCGGCGCTCCAGAGCGCACAACTCGCCAAGGATGGCGTCCAGATCGACATCCTGGGAATCTGCAACGAAAACGTATAATACGAATAAGATCGAGATTAATCTTAGTGCGAAAACAAAGCGAGCTCTTTTTATCGATAAAACGACAAAAAAGAGACGAAGAAAAAAGGAAGAGTGGATGGAATAATATGGAGAGTGAATATCGGATAGGCGGGTATGCTAAAGGAAGGAGCGTGTTCGATCGTAATGGGGGAAACTGCTAATGGACGCGAATTATGAACGATCCAGCGATGAAACCAGTTCCGCGCTAATTACCCGCACGATTGTACGGTCGTCTGGTAACCGCACGCAGGCCTCCTTCGTGTTCCACGAATGTGAAACGAGGCCTCGGACCGCGGACTCGTGTACCTGACCTCGTGCAACACCGAGGCGAAAGTCCTTGGCTCGCCAAGAAACCAACGGTTTTAATTGCGACCGTAGATCGTTTACTCGTAAACCGGTCGATGCCTGTTTTTGGAATCCCTTCCCTCGTGTAAATCAATCTTTCCAACCCGATTCGATTCGAGACGAATAACGGACGGATTCTATTTCCACAATGCTACGATAATTTCGAATCGAAGCGAGACGAATAACGCGAGACGAAAGTTGCAACTAACCCTCTTCCGGGGCCGAACATTCCTCTCGCGGCGCGATAATTATCGCGGGATCCTTTCCCGTACGTGATAACATCGACTTCGTTAAGATAATTAACGAAATTAAGTTCGCGACCGGTTGGTAGAGGCAACACGGATTTTTCAATCAAGAGAAAATTGTTCCAACGAATTGTGCAATCGTTGCTGTTCGCTACTACGTTACGAGCTATATCTGTAAGTAAAAAAAAAAAAAAAAAAAAAGAAAAGGAAGAAAATAATATCGAAGAAACGAAATAACTTTGATCGATATCTACGTTGCTTCGAAGAAGAAACGTTCCCCAAGATTATTTTATCGTTCATCGACTGTTGCCCTCCTTTCATAACAGAGCTCGCAATTAGCGAATAACAGTTCAGAATGAAATTCTCGCGAAGAGTTACGAAGGCGTGAGACATTCCATCGCCAGCCTCCCGAGCTAAGGGCGCTGCGTAGCCTCTCTCTAAAATCCATCAAATCCTTTCTAAAACAGTTTTCCTTTTGGTATTCTTAAACTATAGAGACTATAATAGAACTCGTGCGGGATATAAGATGCGACACGCTTTATCAAGGTGATCAATTACTCGCGAATTAGTGTCAAGATCGTTTCTAATTCGGATCGTACGAGAGTTAATCCTAGAAAGAGAGAGATGATACGTAGCGGGGATATATATATATATATATATATATATAATGTAATTTGGTGAATTTGTATTTAATATTCATTCGTTTTATCAATACGAATCTGTCGTTTCCACGAACAAAAGACGAATTTATTTACATGTATCGGAGTTAAGAGAAACGAAAGATCGAGTGAATGAATGACAAAGTCAATGTGGAATGCGACGATATCTCGTTCAGGATTGTCTAGCCAATACGTCGGCGACGATAGGAAACCCAAGAAACTCGGGCTAACGTTATCAATCGGATTCTTCGCTTTGAATTTCCAACCTGCTGACATTTAATTCAGCAGAAAAGGAGCTCGGTGTTCGTTACTTCGTTATAATGTGTACGATACCCGTGCAAAATGGACGTCCGTTATCTTCAGATTCGACGTTCATTAACACCTTTGTCGAACAAAATATTATCTGTATGTGTTATCTCAAATTAACTTTTTCTCTTCTCAATCTTTCGGATTTTAAGGTCGATTAAACGAGATATAGGGGGAAGAAGAAGAAGAAGAAGAAATGGGATAAAAGGAAGCAAATGACGCGGTGAAAAGTGAAACCGCGACAATAGATAACCTACACAATAGGGTAATGATAGGAGAAACGACCTTGAGCAGCCAAATCTTCGACCGGCTGCCTATAATTAGAACGAACAATAAGAGCTCGCTAATCACCGATTGTTGGGCCCAAGAGCGAAACCATTCAGTAGTTTCGGAACAGTCATCTGCTTAACAATGAGCTCTAATCGTGGCCGAGCTTAACTTCTCGATCGGTCGGAGAGGACCGACGCTTTTCAACTCGCCGACCAACCGATCGTAACAATGGGAACGGAAATTCCCTGGAAATCGAATCTTCCTTCAATGATAATATTTTATCGTCCCGTCTTTCGATAATATTTTTGGTCTATCTTTTTTAATCGCATCGAAGGTGAATTTTTTCCTTTCCCGTCACTTAAAAAAATATATATATATATATATAATTTTCTTCTCCAATATTTCTCATTAATTATTATCTCGAACGAGTATCGTTAAACTCTACATTCGTTTAGACAAAAAGTATTTTATTGCACTTCACTGTGAACGAAGTATTATATGTATTTTTGTAACTGAAAATTACTAGATAATTTGATAGTAACGAGCTTGGTAATTTAATTGATAATTAAATTTAATTCAACATTTCGCAATATTTGCGAGCGAGAGACCGAGGCCGTAAACCACCAGGATATCGAATGAATAAAATTAAGCAAATATTTTCAGAAATCTAAATCCTCCGTTGATCGTCAGATTACCGGTAATTTCAGAGATTCGCGAAGCTAAACATATTCGAAATTCTAGTCGATAATATATATATATATATATATATATATATATATATATATCGAATTGCGTGCTCGAAAGCCATCGACAAAACGGGGGTGCATAATTTACCTTTCGATGATTATCGATCGGTATGCGTACACAAATACGAAAGCGAGAATTCGTTGTATATATTTTATCTAAAACATCTAAATCGTTATTGTTTATTCGAATTCGTAATTTCCCTTTCTTTCTTTCTTTCTTTCCTCGCGCGAGAGGCGAGAGGCGTACGCGATCCAATGGAGATTCGAACCCGATTCGAAGCAGCTCGTTCCGAACGAAACTGAAACCGATGACGAGCTTGCACCGAGCCTGCACTTTCCACGTTCACAAACGATGGAATAACCTCGGCTACGCCTCGTAAACTCGCGAAATAAGCCAACGGATTACCGTTAGCCACGCGTCTACCACCGCCTCGATGCCGTCCAATGGGACACGAGCAACGTCCAATTTGTATTCCCGCAAGGATCCACATCCGACACAGAGGTGATGCACGTGCGTTTTCGTGTCGCGTTAATGCCCAACCACGTTCACGCGCGATCCTCCTCCACGATACGACACGTACCATCTATCCTCGCAATGCTCTCCTCCTCGTCCACCAGACGAGGAAACTATAAAATTTTTAGGGAGTCCGGGGGCGAAACGCGTCACCCATTCAACAATGTGTGTGAACAAGCCGAGCCGAGTTTAGTCAGTCTGTGCACACTTTCTTCGTTGAATAACGAAGGAGGATGCTCTATTCGTTTTCCAATACACCTTTTCTTCTTCTTTTTTTTTTTTGAGAAAGAGAGAGAATTAATTTGATTGGACAAAGAGGAATCGAATCTTAAAGATTTCGAGAAAAAAAAAACGGTAAAGTATTCACTCGTGGAAGAAAGTTTAAACACGTTGGATAAAAAAGAGTACGAGAGTAATAAATAATGGCTCCCGAGTGACGGCTACGGATTTAAATACGAATAACAAATTGGTATTTTTGAGGCGTGGTTATTGTTGATTAAACAACGATGATTAATCGCGCCGATAAGTAGTGGTTTTATATTTGTAATATATTACGATGAGCATTATTCGAATTCCATTCAAGGTAAATAATTTCTCGCGGATAAGTTAAATTATAAACGAGAAGTCATTTCAATATCGCGATATATAAATCCCGATAATCCGAAAGGCTATCCATCGGTCGACTATCGGCAGCGAGGCGTCGAGAAGCGTTCTCATCGTGGCAAAATGATCGAGTGAAGAGAGAGAGAGAGAAAAAAAACACGTCTTTATCGCAACGAAAGCGATCTCGATGAGAATTCGTTCGAGGGATCGGGAAGCCTACTTTCTATCTGCTTTCTCGCGACACTGCATTATCACCCGGTCGAATCCGAGTCTGTGTATCTAAAAGCTTCCTGTTCCTCTACTCTGTGTGGTGGCTGGCCGTTCGTCGTTCCTTCTTAGATCTCAGACATCGCTAATTGGATACCTTTTGCTGCACCTACCTTTACTGGCAAGATAACCCAATATACTCTCGTTGCTTCCGAAATTCGCCAGCATGTTCGATAATTTCACGCCGATCTTTTTTTTGATCGATCAGCATCTAACAACACGTACACGTCTAACGACACATTATTATCCTCGTGGAATGGGAGCAAAATCGTATCAACACTTCGGGTGACTCGTAAACCCTGTGTATACAAACATTCCTTCGACGATTTTCGACGATTTGGAAAATTCGGGATAACGAAACCCGCGACGTAATATCAAATTCGCGAATTATTCGATAATTGGATCGAGAACGGATCGAAAGGAGGATCGAAGCGATGAATGGTACGGATCGAGGTATAGATAGAGGTAGATGGTGGAAAAAGAGGGATCATTGGGCGAGATAACGCGGCAGGAGACGGGGAGATACGCGACACGAACGCATGTTTACCGCGCGTGCGACGGCGCTCGACTAAAGGCCTTAAGGTGAACACACTTGCCTCTTGCCTCGAGAGTTTTCCACGCGGACGCGCTCCACGCTTGCGTGTAGGTGTACCTCGTACGTGGTTATGTCTCCAAAGCGGTAAAGAGGGTTGGACGTGCACGGGGAATTACGCAAACGTCCATTAGACTGGCTATTAGCGTTAAAAATTATTTCACGCGATCATCGGCCTGAGGAAAGCAAACGAGAGAGAGAGAGAGAGAACAAAGGAGAACGGGAGGATAGGAGAGGGGGAATGAGAATGAAATTCGAATGGAAATTCGGTAAATTTGATTTTCATTCGTCGTGAAATGGAGGAGTAAATTTTTTTTTTTTTTTTTTCTTTTCGATAACGATCAACATTGTTACGTTTAATTCGAGCGGAGAACGATATACAGTTACGGGATCGTTACTTAACCGGTATAAAT